ATTTAAGGCATGAACCATTTCATTCCCTGACATTTTCCCAAAGCCCAATAAAGTCCTTTTGGGTCCTTGAAATACCCTCTCTGAGGTGATCTATGCCAAGGATACATGGGGGCTACTGGGCCAGTGACAATGGAATTTTTTTGCCACTCATGCCATCAAGATCACTTCAGCTCCCAGTACAGTCCTGTTGGGATCCCCTGCCACTCCAGAAATAGAGATGAATTCTGCCTCTACATGTTGGCATCAGGGTACATTGTGCACCAGTGTCAACTAAGGCCTGACATTCTTGTGGCTCTGCTGTGCCAGGCCATGGATCCACACAGTCCAATAACTCCCACGGTCCCTTTCCCACACCTGGCCCTCTATTTCGGGTCACAAAGCTCGTTGCTCACTTCTTGTAAATATGATCTGGAGGTCCCTTAAAGAGGATCAGAAGTGACATCAGCCCTTCATTTCTGCCTGAAAACTTGCCCACTGGAAACTGGAGTAGCATTTTTCCTTGAAGAGTTTTCTGCCTGAGAGACTGTTGGAAGAACCGAAGGAAGACAAGCACAGCCGATGATGATCAGCGAGTCTCGATTTTATTTTGGGACCTCTGCCCTTTATAATCAAGATAATAAGCTCATACATATTACAAAAGAATAGCTCATCATTGGACAATGCAATAATGGTCAATCCTACCCCTATGAGTCCACTTGCGGTTGCATTTCTTCATACTTCTGCTGATCTCGTCTTTGGCTAATAATAACAGTCAGCCACACATATTGCAAAAGCACCCTCATGTATGCACTTGCGGTTACAGTTCCTCTTTCCTTTGATAATTTTATCTTTCTTACATCTTCATTCACCTTCTGCTATTGTATAACAGCAGGGTCCAAGGACACACTCTCCTTGAAGTCCCCTCTAGCTCAATTCTAGCTCAACTAGCTGAATCTCATCATGTCCTCCTTTACTCAGCAGCCATTCCTCAACAACATTCTCCACAAGAGACCCTTGTGAGACCTCAATGAGAGTGACCCCCATGAGACCCTTGTGAGACCTCAATGAGAGTGACCCCCATGAGACCCTTGTGAGACCCTCATGTGACCCCTGTGAGAGACCTCAGGTGTCCTCCAGCTGCACCTCAGGATTCACCAGAGAGCATAAGCCCCCAGGAAGAGCAGGCAGAAGGGACTCAGCACTCAGGGACAA